TTGTGTGTGTGTGTGTGTGTGTGTGTGTGTGTGTGTGTGTGTGTGCACAACTCCCTGCTGCCCCATGCTGGAGAGGTTGAATCCTGCTCTGTGCGTGGAAGCACTCCCCCTGCTGGAGGGAATGGGTCAGATCCGCCTCTGTGTGTGAGAGATTAGGCACATTGCCCTCTGCTGGCTGGAACCCGAACTGCCATGCTGTGTGTCAGAGGCCTTGTACTGCTAAGAGTGAATGGAGATTCCTCTTTAACTTCAGTTCCTGTCTTTTCCGATGTGACAAGCCCTGCCTATTTCACCTCCTCTGATGGCCACATCACAAGTGTCTAGGGAAGTACAATAACGTCCTCTCCTTGTGCTCAGCAGAGGTATCTAGTCTCAGGCAGTTCCACAGACCCTGCCTTTCCGTCTGGCCCCAGCCCCCACACTCACACTGGACGTCTATCCGCAGCGCTGGGGATCGGACCGTCTGTATTTCATTGGTGACTTGGCAGCGATAGGAGCCGGAATGCTCATCCCCCTTGGCTTCAAACTCCAGCCTCTGCTCCTGCCCCTGGTGCAACCACTGTGTGTCCTTATACCAGTTGTACGTGGAGACGGGGGGGTTGCTGCCCTGGGTCATGCACATCAGCACGAGTCTGTCCCCCTCTCGGATAGTCTCTCCGGGTGTCGCGTTCAACTGGACTCCCTTAGGGGCATCTGGAGCAAACCAACACGCAGGTGAACAGCTGAGATATGGACACTGTCCAGACATGGGGCAGGGAATGGGACACTGGGACTTTCCCCTCTAGGAGGCGCCAGCTCCCATCCAGGGCAGGGGACTGGCTGACTCAGGGGGATGGGGAATGGGGCATTGGGCCTTTCCCCTCTAGGGGGCACTGGCTCTGACCCTCATGCCCATCCCTGCCCAGTGTTACAGCCCCACTCTTCCTGCAAAATACTGCCAGCTCCCGTCCCATTGGCCAATCTGCTTCCACCCACCTGGACCCCAGTCCACCTCCCGGTGCCCTCCAAGAACTGCAGCCCGTACAGCGCTTTATGGGTCAGTGCCAGAGCTGCTGGTGGGGCTGGTGCTGTCAGACCCAGGGGCACCCAGTTCAAATCCCCCCACTCACATTTCACGTCCAGCACCACGCTGCTCTCGGAGCTCGGTGTCCCAGCCGGGGTGCTGAGCCGGCAGGTTAAATTTGTCCCATGGTCCTGCCAGGTGGGCGTGAAAGTCAATGTGCTCTCAGTCCTTCCGCTCCCTGTCCTCATGGTGGGCTCAGGGGTCCTATGCCCCAAACCAACCCACGTCAGGGTTATGGGGTAGTCGGGGCAGTGATAGGCTACGGAGCAAACTGCCTGGGCCGCGATTGACTCCCTGAACTCACTGGGTGCTTGGATTTGAGGAGCTGGAGGCGAATCTGTGTCAGGGGGACAAAGGAGAAAGTTATTAAGGAGAACACTTTATTATTAGGTGGTGTTAGATGTTCGGCTGCGTGTGTGTGTTCTCTGTGTGCTGCCCCAGCTCTGCGTAGACACCTCGAGTGAACCGCCCAATGACCACAAGATCCGTTAAGGTACGAAGGCACCGGACCAGGTTTATTGGCGACAAAGCATGATAGTAGCACCCAGCAGACTCTACGAGGACACTAAGACATGTCTGCTCGTGACAATGGATGCAGCTCAGTCCATGGCAGGACTTTCCACTGCCCCCTCGGCTGGCCAAAGAGTCTCCCTCTGAGGCTGTGTCTACACTGGAACTTCGTCGGCAAAACTTTTGTCATTCAGGGATGTTAAAAAACACACACGCCCTGAACAACAAAAGTTTTACCGACGAAGAGTGGTGGTGTGAACAGTGCTTTGTGGGCAGGAGTGCTATCCCGCCGACAAAGCTGCTGCCACTCACTGGGGGTGGAATTTTTTTGTCGGCAGGAGAGCTCTCTCCTGCCGACAAACGGCGGCTACACTGTGCGCCTCTTAGCGGCAGGGCTGTAGCGGCACAGCTGTGTCACTGAAAGGTGCCTAGTGTAGACAAAGCCTCGGGTACATCTTTATACCCTGCTATAAACAAGTTCCGTACTGTCAGCCTGATCTTATCTGTTAGGAGGGGTCAGTGTGTTCCCGTTATCCTGGGGGAAGGTTTTTGTACCTTCCTTGGTACCACTTAATATCGGGCTGTGTTTGCGGGAGTGCTCTGTGCCTAGCACTTCTTAGCAATGTGCATTTCTGCAAGATCAGCCCTGTGCTTGCCACATTCTGTGAGCAGGGCCTGCCTCATACCAGGCCTCTGATACAAGGGCTCGCTCTCTTCCTACTACATTAGGTAGAGTCTCTGCCCCAGGTGACATCAGGGCCCTGTTGTGCCGGGCGCTGCCCAGACACAGCGAGAGACAGTCCCTGCCCCAAAGAGACCACAATGGAAATAGGCAAAGGATTATTCTCCCTGATTTTCAGGTGGGGAAACTGAGGCACCAAAAACTACTTCCCCTTGGGCATATGGGGGGAAAGGGAAAACATGAAATAACAAAACCCAACCCCCAACATTCTTCCTTGTGCTGCACTTGGGGTGAAAAGGGAACAAAAAGCAAGTGGAAAAATTAAATTCAAAGTTTGTGAGTAAAATATTTCAGGAGAAATTTGGAAAAACACCGTAAAACGGAAACAACTTTGAAGTTTTCTATCCAAACTGTTGTTCCGTTTTGCTGGAGGCTCTGCTGAGCAGCACGGAGGATAACAACCTACTGCTTCT